AATCTCTGAATGGTAAGAGGATAAGGTTCAGTAAAGATATTGGAAGCTCCGGAGTAGGAATTTTCAAAACCTTACAGGGCCATGCCTGGGAGCCATTTGGTCCTCACAGCAATGTCTCCATTGATAAAAATGAATGATCAGCACCTGGCAGTATTGTCATGCATATATTACTCAGGTAAGATTCAAAATTACCTTAGAGGGTTTGGAGAGATAGTTTTCATTAAGAAAACACACTACTCTTTTAAGAGAATTCAGGATCAGTTCTCAGCATCTACATCAAGGGGCTCAAAGATACCCCCAACACCACTACGGGGAAACCCAAAACCTCTAACCTCTCAGAGAACCAGCATCACTTACACATGCCCTGCAATATATGCAATTTAAAATGAGTAAGTTTTTAAAAACTACATTAAGGAATAATCAAGGAGTTTGATCCAAATCTCCACATCCTTCATGGGGGCAATCACTTGACCTTTCATGACAAGACAAAATGGTAATGTTCTCCAAGAAGAACCCAAGCATCTCCTCAACTCCTGAGATGAAGACATCCCAAGAGTGTGTTAGTCAAGACCTTTTGTTGCTATGACAAGTACCTTAAAAATCAAGGGAGGAAAACTAATGGTGGTTTTTGCTACACGGGGAAGTGATGAAGATCACTTGCTTCTCCGAGGCACACTATCACCTGCAGGAATTTGACAGCAGTGAGACAGCTGTTGCCTGGGATACTGCAAGGCTGTCCCTGCTTGGAAAGGTAGCTCATGCTCAACCCACACAAATCAAGGAATAGCAGTAAGGACCCAGACTCCTCCTGTGAGAAAATGAGTGGACGAGATGGCAAAAATAAGATATACCTTAGAGGTTGTCTGTGACAACATTTTGTTGAAGTGGAAACTGAGCCATGGATAAATGGATGTCTTTTCTCTCTCAAAGGTTCTTAGTAAATATTTAAAAAGAGGAGGGGGAAACTATGTACTTGTGTTTTAATTTTAGAAAAATTTCAGTGAGTAAAAGTAACAGATGAAGAGCCTGGGATTTCTTTGTCTACACTCCATCTTTCCTGTTACAAATCACTGCATTTGTTATTTCTTTTTTCCTTCCTTTTTAAAATTTAAGTTAGAAACAAGCTTGCTTCACATGTCAGTCCCAGATCCCTCTCCCTCCCCTCCTCCTCCACCCTCCCCATCAGGCCCTCCAGTCGCCCACCCAATCTCCACTCCAATCCCCAGAGAGGGTGAGGCCCTCCGTAGAGGATCTCCCGAGTCTGTCATTTCATCCAGGTAAGGGCCTAGGCCTTCCCCGAAGAGTCCAGGCTGAGAGAGCATTGCTCATTGTGGGGTGGGCAGCCAAAGTCTATTTGTATGCCAGGGGTAAATACTACCCATGGCCCCATAGATTACCTAGGCCTCCTCACTGACACCCACATTGAGGGGGTCTGGGGCAGTCCCATGCTGTCCTTCCAGCCATCAGTCTGGGGTCAAAGAGCTCCCCCTTGTTCAGGTCAACTGTTTCTGTGGGTTAAACCAGCCCAGTCTTAACCCCTTTGCTCATTAGTCCTCCCTTTCTGTCACTGGGTTTAGCTGTGGGTGTCTGCCTCGTGTTACTGGATGAAGGTTCTGTTTCCCAGACTCTCTGGCAGTGGGATTGTAGGCTGGCAATCCTTTGCTCTATGTCTAAAATCCATATATGAGTGTGTACATACCATGTTTGTCTTTTTGTGACTGGGTTACCTCACTCAGGATGGTTCCTTCTAGTGCCATCCATTTGCCTGCAAATTTCAAGATTCTATTGTTTTTTCCCACTGAATAGTACTTCACTGTGTAAATGTACCACATTTTCTCTATCCACTCCAGTTGAGGGGCATCTAGGTTGCTTCCAGGTTCTGGCTATTACAAATAATGCTGCTATGAACATGGTGGAACAGATGTCCTGTTGTATGAATGTGCATCTTTTGGGTATATGCCTAAGAGTGGAATTGCTGGGTCTTGTGGTAGACTGATTCCCATTTTCCTGAGGAATCTCCATACTGATTTCCAAAGAGGCTGTATGAGTCAGCACTTCCACCAGCAGTGAAGGAGTGTCCCCCTTTCTCCACATCCTCTCTGGCATAAACTGTCATTGGTGTTTTTGATTTTAGCCTTTCTGACAGGAGTAAGTATCTCAGAGTTGTTTTGATTTGCATTTCCCGATGGCTAGGGATGTTGAGCACTTTCTTAAGTGTCTCTCAGCCATTTTAGACTCCTCTACTAAGAATTCTCTGTTTAGTTCTGTACCCCACTTTTTAATTGGATCCTTTGGTATTTTGGAGATTTGCTTCTTGAATTCTTTGTAAATTTTGGAGATCAGCCCTCTGTCAGATGTAGATTTAATATGAATATCTTTTCCCAATCTTTGGGCTGCTTTTTTGTCTTGTTGACTGTGTACTTTGCTTTAAAACAGAAGCTTCCCAGTTTCAGGAGGTGTCATTTATTAATTTGTCGATCTCAGTGTCTGTGCTACTGGAGTTCAGGAAGCGATCCGCTGTACCAATTTGTTCAAGGGTACATCCCACTTTCTGTTATAAGAGGTTCAGTATGGCTGGATTTATGTTGAGGTCTTTGATCCATTTGGATTTAAGTTTTGTGCATGGTAATAGACATGGATCTATCTATCAGCCTACAGTTATGCCAGCACCATTTGTTGAATTGCTTTCTTTTTTTCCATTGTATAAGTTCAGCTTCTTTGTCAAAGATCAGGTGTTCATATGTGTGTGGGTTAATGTTGGGGTGTTCAATTCAATTCCATTGGTCTATCTGTCTATTTTTGTGCCAATACCAAGCACCAAGCTGTCTTCAGGACTATAGCTCTGTAATACAGCTTGGAGCCCGGAATGTGACACCTCCGGACATTGACTTGTTGAACAGGGTTGTTTTGGCTATTCTGGGTCTTTTGTTTTTCTATATAAAGTTGAGAATTGTTCTTTCAAGGTCTGTGAAGAATTGTGCTGGGATTTCAATCCAGAATTCTACCAGAAATTCAAAGAATAGCTTATACCAATTTTCCTCATAGTTTTCCACTCAATAGAAACAGAAGGGTCTTTGATAAACTCTTTTTATGAGGCTTCACTAACCTTGATACCCAAGCCACACAAAGACACAACTAAGAAAGACAACTTCAGACCAATATCTCTCATGAACATTGATGCAAAAATACTCACTAAAATACTGGCAAATCGGATCCAAGAACACATCAGAAAACTCATCCACCAGGATCAAATAGGCTTCATTCCAGGGATGCAGAGATGGTTCAACATAGGAAAATACTTCAGTGTAATCCACCATATAAACAAGATGAGAAACAAAAGTCACATGATCATCTCACTAGATTCAGAAAAAGCCTTTGACAAAATCCAACACCCTTTCATGATAAAGGTCTTGGAGAGATCAGGAAGAACAGGAACTTACCTAAACATAACAACAAACCAACAGCCAACATCAAACTAAAGGGATAGAAACTCAATGTGATTCCTCTAAAATCAGGAACAAGATAAGGCTGTTCACTCTCTCCATACCTCTTCAATATTGTCCTTGAAGTTCTAGCTAGAGCAATAAGACAACAAAAGGGGATCAAGGGGATACAATTTGGAAAGGAAGAGGTCAAACTTTCACTATTTGCAGATGATATGATAGTTTATATAAGTGACTCAAAAAACTCTACCAGGGAACTCCTACAGCTGATAAATCCCTCAGCAAAGTGGCAGGATACAAGATCAACTCAAGAAAATCAGTAGCCCTACTATATACAGATGATAAAAGGGCTGAGAAAGAAATCAGAGAAACATCGCCCTTTACAATAGCCACAAACAACATAAAATACCTTGGGGTAATGCTAACCAAACAAGTAAAAGACCAGTATCACAAGAACTTTGAGTCTTTACAGAAATTAAGAAGACACTAGAAAATGGAAAGATCTCTCCCATGCTCTTGGATACAAAGGATCAACATAGTGAAAATGGCAGTCTTACTGAAAGCAATATACAGATTTAATACAATCCCCATTAAAATCCCTGCATCTGTTATTTCAAAGGGGTTCAGTTTTGGATGCAAGAATAAGGTTTACTAAAGTTCCCATGGCCACCCTTTATGGGTAATAGTATTGTAAACACAGAAGTATTTTCTTCAGGGAAGGGAGAGAAGATTTTCAAGTTAAGGGGAAGACAAGGTGAAAAATGCATTCACACCTAAACGAGTCTAATGTTCTGTTACTCGGTCTAATTTGCCAATATGTCCTTCGTTTTCCTGGTAATTAAACTTTTGCTGCTAAAGGAAAAGCATGTGTTGGCTGCCAGCAAGACCTCAAGAAAATGTTACAGCAAAGGGAAATTGTTTATCATTTACTTAGCAAACATTTGGACTGAAAAAAATCAATACTTCTCCACTCCTTGCTAGTGTTGTTTATCTGATATGTCTCCTACAATACTTAGATACAACCATTTAAACATGGCCTTAATGAGAAACTAGCTGACAGCTGATCTGGAACTGCCTTAAATGGCTCTGTAGACAGTGTGATGCTCCCTTAAAATGTTTCCTAAAGGACAAATCCATTATTTGTTGCCACTTTTTCCAAAGTCCATGGAGAAATTAGCTTAATTATTTCTTTGGTTGCCAGACAAAGCAAATCTTCCCTTCTTGAGAAAGGGCAAATGCTATTTACTCACTGGCTTTGAGAAATTCTTCCATAAATCAAACTATTGAAATGAGTTGACTGAGATATTGGACACCTTTTTTTTTTTGAAGGAGAGAATACATTATATTAGTTCTTCCTTTCAGCGACAGTAGGAAAGTGAGAGGCTCTATCAGAATATGGAAGAAAGAATATGGAAAGCCCAGTAATTTGGAGATCTCATAAGTATGTTGAGGAAAAGTAGCTGTTACCAATGTGGTGTAGTGTATAGATTCTTTGATTGAACCCTGGAATATAATATCCATTGACAGTAAAAAGATAAATAAAAGGGTATGAACAACTCAGAATCAATCATTTAATAGAAAACCAAAGGAAAAATAAGAGAGGGCAGTAGCAAATGGAGACTATTTAAGCTAAAGACTAGACCAGCCCTCTCTCCATCTCCTTTTCTAGGTTCTCTCGGTAACATTCATCAGGTGATATTTCAGTATTTCTACCCTTTCCTCTAAAAGTAACCATCCTTCTAGCTGCCTGCTCCTTGCCTCACTCAAGAACAGTCTGTCCACCACTCCATAATTTCAGATAAGAAGAGCAAACATGAGTGTATCTTAGCTGACCAGGTTTTCCTTCAGTGGAGTCCACATTGGGTAAATTTCCACCTGGACTGTGAACTAGCGAGTTATTTGTCATTTGAATATATTCATTGTGAGATGTTGGTCATGACCATTCCTTCTGCTCCACATCTTTCAGGGGTAGCAGCTCATATTTGTCTGAATCTGGAAACCATCTGAACCGAACCTTGTTTGCAAGGTCTCTCTCACAGTGATGCCATGGTAGTCTCCCAAACACAGGCCTCCATGTCCTAGAGAATCCAGAGCATATAAAACAGAAAACAAAACAAAACAAACAAACAAAAAAACTAATAGCCAACTCCATAGGGCCAGAGCAAGGGAGGGAGCTTGAGACCACGAGCTTTTGTTATAGAATCTTGAACAGAGATCTTACATCAATCCACATAGATCTGGAAAAAAAAAGTATTAATTAAAAAAAATCTCATCACAAGCAATCCCCGCCCCCATTTCCTGTTTATTTCACTGCCATTGATAATCTAGTAAACAGTTGTCATGGCCTACTTGATCATCACAGCTCACGGTGTGGATAATGAGGCAGGGTCTTTCCTAAGCCGGATGTTAAAGACACACTTTCACATGTCTTTGCTGACCCCACCTAAAGACTAACAGCTGCTCTAGTCTACAACAAGTAATAAACCAGGTGGTGGTGGCACGCCTTTAATCCCAGCACTCAGGAGGCAGAGGCAGGTGAACCTCTGTGAGTTCATAGCCCAGCCTGGCCTACAGAGCTAGTTCCAAGACAGCTAGGGCAATTACACAGAGAAACCCTGTCTTGAACAAACAAACAAAGAAAAAAAACCCTACAGGTTCCTTTATGGATTTATTCTTTTAAAAAGATTCTCCCCCTTTCTGCTCTGTATGCTGTTTACCTAATATAAATGTGTGAGCCTGAAGGATGTTCAGTTCCTCTTAGTGGGTACTGGCTGTTCCCTACAGCACTTTACAATTGTTTTTTCCACTTAGGCAGCAGAATTTGGAAAAGCCATGGGGTCTGTACTAAGTCTCATGTCTTGGAAGCTGCCAGAATCAGACATGGGTTATTCTAGGACCACTTCTGGCCTGCGTGTCCTTTCCCCTAGAGAGCCCTATTTCCACAAACAGAAACCAGATGCCTGAGAGTTGATGCATGGAAAGTTATTACTGCACAAGAGTGACCCTTCACCTACTAAACTTCCCCTTGTTGACTGAGCTGCCAGGCAGTACCAGCCGGGCTGTTGGTGTGGGCGTGTGGCTGACCTTTCATCTACTTTATCCGGCTCAGGAGAGCAAGGAGGTACCTGCTCCGCTTCTGCAATGCCAGCAGTTTCTTTCTTCTAAAAACAATACCGATGAAAACTGTGGGGTAGGAAATACTTTTATTTGCAAACAGGAAATGAGTTACTGCCCTGGCAGAGCCAAACACTCCTCTTGCCTAACACGGCACATTTTCAGGAGCCTAGCCATTGAAAGAAGAAGTGTTGAGCCTAGCGTGGAAACAGATGGAGAAAAGGAGAGCTCCAACCCCCTTCATACTATGTCCCCTTGGCCCCAGCACTGCTCTGTGGAATCCAGCCAGAAACCGTCTGTCACTTAAGATCATAAACATGTTTTCTGAACTCAGCACTTTGAGTTCTCAAGTTAATTTTGGAGCAAAGGATGTAAATAAGGAAAGGTCCATGTGTCCGTGTGAGGATTATTAAAATTAAAGACGTATTTTTTTGTTATTTATTTATTTATTTATTGGTTTTTCGAAGACAGGGTTTCTCTGTATTGTTTTGGAGCCTGTCCTGGATCTTGCTGGGTAGACCAGGCTGGCCTCAAACTCAACAGAGATCCACCTGTCTTTGCCTCCCAAGTGCTGGAATTAAAGGCATGGGCCACCACCGCCCGGCTAAGATTGAAGACTTTAAGTGAGTTGTTGGGGCCCCAGCAGCCCTAACAATCTAGACTCCTTCACCTGTCCTCCATTGAGCAATTAGAGACAAGGAATGAAACAGAAGATGCATTCCATTGCCCACCTTGTTAAGAAGCCAAGGAGAGTCTATCCTCGGTGTGTAAATAGAGACTAAGAGCTATGCAGAGTTCAACAGTTACTGCTGGTGTTGGTTCAAGAGGTTGTTAGAACTGTGTGAAATCCTTTCCTAGTAGATACACTCCTTCTATGACTCACCAGACTTCAGGAGAAATTACAAGTTTCCAAGAGAAATTCCAATTCTTTGGGGACCATTGTTTCACTAGTCTGACAGCCAAAAGGAGGAAACAAATATCTCTAGAATATCTTCACTCCTGCCAGGATGGTTACAAAAACAGCCTAGTTTCTCCCAGACAGTCTGATCCAAGGTTTACATGTAAAACAAAAACATCCAATACTCAAGAGCTGTTTGGTGTGTTTTGAATTCAGTTAACAATGCTGCCTTGTTTTTGAGCAGCAAAGAAAATAGATGAGATATTAAAAATACTAATGTAAAACAAAAATGCTTTACTAATTGAAAAAATAGCATTAGTCAGCCCCAGGCAAATGCAAATCAAAACAATTCTGAGATACCATCTTACTCCTGTCAGAATGGCTAAAATCTAAAACGCCAATGACAGTTTATGCTGGAGAGGATGGAAGGAGAGGGGAACACTCTTCAACTGCTGTTGGGAGTGCCAACTCGTATAACCAGTTTGGAGACCAGTATGGAGATTCCCCCAGGAAAATGGGAATCAGTCTACCACAAGATCCAGCAATTCCACTCTTAGGCATATATCCAAAAGATGCCCATTCAAACAACAAGGGCGTCTGTTCCACTCTGTTCACAGCAGCATTATTTGTATTAGCCAGAACCTGGAAGCAACTTAGATGCCCCTCAACTGAAGAGTGGATAGAGAAAATGTGGTACATTTACACAATGGAGTACTATTCAGCAGAAAAAACAATGGAATCTTGAAATTTGCAGGCAAATGGATGGCACTAGAAGAAACCATCCTGAGTAAGGTAACCCAGTCACAAAAACACAAACATGGTATGTACTCTCTCATATATGGATTTTAGATATAGATCTGGGGAGTCTACAAACCCATGACCAGAGAGTCTGGGGAACGGAACCTTCATCCAATGGCTGATAGCAGCAGAGGCAGACTCCCACAGCTAAACACTGAGGTGAACTCAAGGAATCCAGTGACAGAGAGGGAGGACTGGTGAGAAAAGAGGTTAAGACTGGGCTGGTTTAACCCCCAGAAACAGCTGACCCGATAAGGGTTAGCTATCGAATCCCAGACTGATGCCTGGGAATCCAGCATGGGACTGATCAAGACCCCCTGAATGTGGGTGTCAGTGGGGAGGCCTAGGCAATCTATTGAGCCTTGGGTAGTAGATCAGTATTTATCCCTGGCATACAAATGGACTTTGGGTGCCCATCCAAAAATGAGAGATGCACTCTCACCCTGGACTCTTGGGGGAGGGTCTAGGCCCTGCCCTGGATGAAATGACAGACTATGGACACCCCCATGGAGGGCCTCACCCTCCCTGGGGAAATGAGGGAATATTGGGGGGGGTTGGGGAGGGCAGTACAGAAAACAGATGACAAATGCACAGGCAAATAACAGGACTTCCCCAACACCCAACACACCCTGGTTCCAGAGCCGCATTAGTCCCAAATAAACACACAGGAGGCTATATTAATTATGAAGTTGTTGGCCTTGTTTGTCTCTTACTGGCTAGCTCTGCCTTAAGTAATTACCCCATAATAGTTAATCTAAGTATGTTTCTTACCGGAGAATAGTTCCCGGCGTCCTACCCCCATGGCGTCACATGTTGACTCTCTTGTGTTTCCCCTTCCCAGAATCCTCCTCGACTCCTAGTCCCTCCTATCTAGGTTTTCTATTGGCCAGACAGTACTTTATTGACAAATGCACAGGCAAATAACAGGACTTCCCCAACAGTTGGGGGTGTTGGTGGGAGGGCTTGGGAGAAGGGGAGGGAAAGGGAGTGGCACCTGGGATTGACATGTGAAGCAACCTTGTTTCCAATTTAAATTTAAATTTAAAAATAAAAATTAAAAAAATCCTCCACTCTAGTTATACTATGAAAATGTTTTATAGACAAGCAATTCAAAACAAATAAACCTGAGATCTTAAAAATTTAAAAAAAATCAGCCCCAGGCAAATGAAGCAGAAATTTCTGTTCAGACTGAGGTATGGCAAACTCATGCATCCTGTTAACTCTCCCTTTTCTCTTTAGCAAGTGAAGGCAGTAGAGAACTAAGTAGAATGATTGTGATTTTCACCACTGATAGTTGTACTATGGGGTTGACCTTCCGTATTGTAAAAGGAAGTCATGGTAGGACAGAAGGAGCCACACACAGCTCACGTGGACTCTTAGATCAGGAGTAAGAAGCATCAAATCTCTCCAACCTGGTAACTAATTCACCAACATCTCAAGTGCTGAGTGGCAAGACTCAGTTAGACAGGAAAGAAGGTAGTGAGCTACTTTTAAAACAGCAGTCCCAGTGGGATGGGGTAGGACTAACCACTACTTGTAAAAGTGCTTGCCTCAACTGGTATTTCCAGACAAAGTTTTCTAGGGAACGTCTGGGCTTCTGTAGTTAGACTCAGGATTGGCTCACTCAATGCAATGTTGGTATAATTCCTGTCTTAATCCTGCTCTGAGTTAAGCAAAGAAATCACCAGGTTTCCTTTAGTGAATATGTGTCTTCCAGATGACCCAGGGCTTGAATGTGAGTGCTTGACTATGGAAAGTTAGGAAGTTTATCCATGTCTGTCCCAGTCACAGGAACCAACGACAGAATGGGACAAACCTTAGAGTCTTCTAAGGAAGAAAATGCCATGTGAATTCCATGAGTGGTGGGGATACACACAAGGGAAAGAGATATCCTGTCTGGTAATGCATTCAGGAAATTTAGGCAATGACTAACAAACAGAGGAAAAGAATAAACCATGGAAGGATGCAGAATTTCATCCTTCAATAGCTCAGTACCAGTTTCCAGAAGACACTGGACCCAAATGATAAGAACGACCTGGGTACATTCTCCTGAAGTCCTAAGTCTTGCTTCACGGCAAGAGGATTGAATAGAAGGTAAAGGCTGCTGGCACATCTCTATTACCTTATTTTACCTTCCAAATCATTTTTAAAAAGACTGTTTAAGAGAATGTATTTGTCAAACTCTTCTGGTTCACTTGCTGCATCTATTATCATTTCAACTTTTGAAATAATATTGATTTGCTTAAAGTGAAAAACTAACATTTTATTGCTTAACATCCAGAGAATCATTTAAGAAGCAAAGATAAATACCAGTAACTCTACCACCGACATGCTACCACTATGGAACATTTGGTATGTCTTTATACTGTGTACATCTGTGCATACATTTTCAAAATATTAATTACATGTGTTTTTTGGAAATGTTTCTTATGACCATGTGACTCTCTATACCAGTTGGGAAAAAGGGGCAGGACTCACAGAAAAAGCCAAAAATGCTTAGTAGAAATTTAAGGTCAAATTTTTCTGAGGAATTAACATTATTGGTGTTACTCTTTTTCAGATCCACAAAACCAAAGCATGGGTTCTATGACCTATACACTATCCCTTCTTATGAGCTCTGAACTGTTGTCAGCTCTGCAATTTTTAATTCCTCTATACAAAGAGAATCTTTTCTAGATTAAAGTTTAATTATGGGAATCTTTATGTGATCTGCTTGAAGGCAAAGCTGGGGCTCTAGAGAGAAACATAATCTCAGACAACTCCAAAGGTCAAGTAGCCAACCTTGTATTCATACTTTTTCCAAAAATTTAATCCCAGTAACTTTGACCTGTGCTGGACTTCTGTCATCCATTTTTTGTGGCCACATCACAAGACAGCTATACATTGTGAATGTGTGTCCTTGAAATCACATGTGAAAACCCCCAGGGCGATGTTAAGAGGTGGGGTCTCATTGAAAGCAATTGCATCATCAAGGCTCCACTCTCTCAACTGGATTATTTAATCATGTAAAGGCTGTAATAACTAGTGTACGCTCTTGCTATTCTTCAGCTTTTGGATCCTGTGGGGAAGGGCCCCTCCCTACCAAGGGCTAAGGCATTTTGTTTTCTCAGGATCTTAGAGGATGTACCAACAGTGACTTGTGACAACTAGAGATGTGGCATCTACTATTGCTAATGGCAAGTTCTTGTTTTAGTGATCCTCTGTGTGCATCAGGCACTTTCTTAAGAACAAAGAGCAGCACTCAACAGAAAACATACTCACTGACAACCTAAGTTTGGACTTTCTGGCCTCCTGACTGTAAGAGATCTAGTTCCACTCTTTATAAATGGCCCAGTTAATGTATCTTCAACACTTGAGATTCTCTCTTCCATCTC